CTCATGAATTTCTATTTAACTCTAATAATTGAAAAACTCTGCCCGCGAATAGCCGGCTGGAGTGGCCTATGTGCGGAATAACGTGTACAGTAGCAATGGAACCCTCGGAGGCAGGCAGAGAACACTAACCATGTTACTACAAGAAGAGAAAGTATAAAAGACCATGCAATATTACATTAAGTTAGCTCGTCCTATCTTAATGTCATACAGGACTATGTAACTCAAACTTCTACCTGTTCAAAATAGAGAGTCCTGACCATGCCAACCAAAATATATGCTGTTTAAGCATTTAGAATTCGCATACAGCACCCTCCCAGAACATCGAGACACAACCATGTCAGCTTGGTTGCCCCACTTAAACAGCAGCAGCAGGTATGGTAAGAAGGGATTGACAGGCTAACGGCTAAAGTCACGGTATAACAAATACTTGGCAGTCACTAAGCCAATAACAGGCAACTCAACTTGGGAGAAGGCCCAAACAACCACAACCACGCCTCAAGAGCACTCCCTTCAGCCTCCCACCACTGCTCTAAATCAAGTGTCCTGTAGTTGCAAAGTCCCTCCTGCTCCTATAGGACATAAAATTGTAGAGGTCAGAAGGGTGGGGTTCATAAAACGTAAGGCCCAAAGCAGTTCTCTGGATCCCTGGAGCTGGCTACTCTGTGAACCCTATCAAGCTCTACAGGGACGGATAAATCCCCTTCCAGCAGCGCATATAGAATCGCTTGAACCATGTGCCTGAGGTCCGTCCCCCTGGTCAACCAGGGATTCCGTGTATGCGGAAATGATTCTGACAGCTGCAATTCTCACAGTCATCAACTTTGAGGTGAAGCAGGAACAGCGATTTGAGCGTGGGTGGCTTGTGCCTGTTCCAGAGCAGATTCCTTGTCTCAACTGTGACCTGGGTACTTCCCAGTGTATGAGCTCTAGTGTCCACCTGCAGGACTTGTTGTTTCACCTCAGATAGTTCAGGTTTGAGAGTGCCCTCAATAAGCAGCGCCAAGGAATCCAGGTCAGAAAAGAAGGTAGCCAGCATCTCCTTGAGCTCATTACTCAATAGGGTCCTTGAAGTACATAAGAGCAGAAGATAAAAGGGAGTGTCAAGGAGCTCCGAGTCCTCCAACTCCAGGCATGATGCAGGCATCTCATCTGTCCCATGTCGGCGGTAGTTGTAGGCCCGCTGGTTCTAGCTGCCTGTCTGAGGGTTGGCTCCATCTTAGATTTGGCCATGATGCAAGACCTGTAAGCTGAAAATATCTAGTGAGGTCCACAGCGGGTGTACAGGGAGATCACCTAGAGTGTCTCCCAGTATTCAGCATGAAGTTCTTCGGCTGGTATAGTCAGCAGTCAACTGCAAGGCATTGTTATTCCCAGAAGCTCCTCTGCCACAGGTCCTCACGGTGCCATTGCTAGGACACGTCTCCCAAGAGAAAACGTTTTTCCCAAGACAGTGGGCAGGTGGAAATCTTTTAGTTAACTTTTATTTAACTTTTCCATTTTAAAATTCCATGTCTTCAAGTACAGTACAGGAAATACGTTGAATATTCATAGACCCTGGGATATAAGCATCCATCTTCAAGCGACTGGACACTGGCAGTGCTTTTGGACATACAGCCCTAGGCGTACCCCTACAACCCTGCCCAACTTTGCAGGGCCTCTTTTTTTTTTTTTTGCAAGCAAAGCAGAGTTACACAGGAACAGAGGGGAGGGCAGCCGGAGTCCTTTACTGTACTCCAACATATTGAATTTACAGCAAATCTGAATTCCTTTTATACTAGTTAAACAGTACAGGACACAGGTTGGATAATTATGGACCCTGAAAAGTCCCCAAGCAATAAATCAGAAGGATGGGCAACAACAAAGTAAACAGAACCACCCCAACAAAAAAGGAAAAGGGTCACAGTGCCACTGAAAGAACCTTGCGGTCGCAAGCTACTTCCACAGAGGCCTGGACATTCACTTGATAGAAATTGGAGAATGTGTGAACTGAAGACAAAGTAGTGACCCTTACACTGATGAGCAACAGAAAGTTGATGTCAGAATACCCAAATCCATTTTTCAAATGGAGGCTGCGACTTCCACATACGATAAAAGCTCTGAATACGTCCAGAAAATGGAGGGCAAATTCCTTGGGATGCATAGGAGCAAAGGAACAAGGAAGGAAGGACACTGCTTATTAAGGTGGAAGGCTGTTAACACCTTAGGGAGAAAAAGGTGGAGTTTGGGAGCAAGACTGCTTTACCATTGTGAAGAACTAGGAAAACTTACAAGAGGGCAGCCAATTCTGAAACACATCCAACAATCATGATAGCCACCAAGAGGATCACTTTGCAAGAGATAAGCCAAGAGGAGTTCCCTAATGGATTCAAAGTTGTTTCACCAAGGCAAAGAGAACCAGACCGAGACTCCAAGAAAGAACAAGGTGCTGTATTTGGGAGCTGGGTTAGACCTTAAATAAAGCACTAAATTGTTGGTTGGCAAATGGTATAGATCAGGGGTACTGAATAAAAATTAACAGAGGTCCAATCAGTATAATGTCCTTCCGGGAGAGGACAGAATAGCATATTTGTGCAATGAATCAGACCCTTAACCTCACATACTCCCCCGCCCCCTACATACCACAATCCCATTCCTACATCTGTGTCCTCAGTTTCCAACTTCAAGCGTCTGATACCCCCTTTACATTGCCCCCTTTCACATTTCTCCCCCCTCCCACAGCACCACCCCCCTTCACAACTCTACAAACACAGGATCCCTTTCCTTCACAATACCCCCTCCCCCACAGTATTGCGCTCTGTGTATTCACATCAACCCCCACCCCAGCTGTAGTCTCAGGCTGTACCATGACAGGGTTGGGAGAGGTGAAGGGGGTCTGGGTGCTTTGTAAATGCACAGTATACATGATTGTATATACTTTTCTCACTTCTATTGGTTAAACTGGATGGACTTCTTTTTTTAAAAACAGACTAAAGCCTAGTACACACGGTTTTATTTTTGTTCAACCCAGTGAACTGAAGGGAAACCCCCCCCCCCCCCCCCCCCCCCCCCACACAAAACAAGAGGAGCTTGCTGTAGTAACTATGCAACGTTAGTACAGTGATCTCCTTAAAGCGGAGTTCCACTCAAAATCGGAGGCTCCGCTTATTTGCCTCCTCCCCTGCCATATTTGGCACCTTTTGGGGGGGAGCAGATACCTGTTTGACAGGTACCCACTCCCACATCCGGCTCAGTTTGCCACGTCAAAGTGAGACGGAAGTTCGCCCCCTTCCTCCCTACCACAGTCTCCTGGGTCCCAGAAGACTGCGAGACCAATGAGAATGCGTATGTGCAGTGGGGACACCTGGCTGTGAAGCCACAAGCTGTTGCCGGCAGAAGAAAAGGCAGAGAAGGGCCGGTGCAGGTGAAAACTTCGCTGGACCCTGGGACAGCTGAATGTGCATTTATTAAAAATCAGCAGCTACAGTTTTCGGAGCTGCTGACTTTTAATAAATACAAAACTGACTAGAACTCCACTTTCAGATATTGCGTTCTGCCAAAGTGGCTATTTCCAAAAGATCTGGGTATAGACACGCTCCTTCGACCCAAGGCAGCCTGTAAAGGAAGAGTATACTTATCTGATTACCAATGTGTTGAAAAGCCACAGTTTCGCTTCTCCCTTAGTTGCTACACATATTCATCCCCCCAGACAAGTCATCTCTTATGTTGCTGTGGTTCTTTCTCCTGCAGCAAATTACAAGCCAGCAGAAGGAACCACTGCATGCTGTGGAGGTGCAGGTATTCTACACAACCAGAGGTGCCTTTAAAGCAGATCTACACTGCATCTGAGCATCACAAACCAAAAACTCATTTTTAATATTCAAAGCAAAATTGCCCATCCATCCAAGTCTCCATGCTTTATTTTACTGAGAAATCACTCTGAAAGACACCCCCCTAACAAATCTAGCAGTGGTCATCTTGAGTAAGGGCAGATGATTCATGTAACCTTTACTTTCTGGAATCCATCTGTCCCTAGTTTAGGCATGCAGGAAGGAGGGTGTGCTTAGCTGTAAAAACCTCTCCTCCCCTCTTCAAGACTACTGGGACGCATGAAATAACTCGCCTAGGCATGGAAACCAGGAAGTAACTGAAGAAATTAAAAGAATAAAAAAAAAAAACTGAAAACAAGTAAATATGATATACTCTCATTTATTTACTAATGCTTGTAGCATAAGGATTTAAACCAGGCAAGGTTAATTGAGAGAGTGAAGTTCCGCTTTAAACACACAGGCTGCCAAACCATAGGTGTATTCACTCATCTTTTACAGCTTGGCTTGTGTGCAGAAGTGACCCTGTGGGTACAGAGTCACTTTATATTGACAGTCAAATACTGTCACACATTCCCTGCCAGTTTTTTTTTAATTATTTACAAATGTTAAAGCAGACCTTCAGTCAATTTGTTTTCTTTTACCATGCAGTGCGGCAGGTGCCGAAGAGACCGGTCTTATGTATGGGGCATCTGTGGGTCAATTACCATATTTTTCACTCCATAAGACGCACTTTTTTCCCCCCAAAAAAGGGGGGGAAAGGTCAGTGCGTCTTATGGAGCGAATATGGAGCGGCCGGTCCGGTATTTCCGCCGTGTCAGAATACCGGCCGGCCGCTCAGCTCTGCAGTGGGACCTTACCTGTTCCTCTGTCCAGCAGCGAGCTGTCTTCCCGGCTTCTGTAGTGTGCGTGACAGCCGGGTGCCAAGTGCGCATGCGCACAAACCGGTGATCTTTGTGCATGGTAAGGCGGTACCTGGGACACATGACAGATCCCAGAAGCCGCCGGACCAATCACAAAGCGCAGCGCTTCTTGCGCATGCGCACTGGGCATCCGGCTGTCCGCCGAGCGCCCCCACACTACAGAAGCCGGGAAGACAGCGCGCGGCTGGATAGAGGAACAGGTAAGATCAAAGAACAACTCAGCAGAAGAGCGGGTACCTGTCAAATTCAGGTACCCGCTCCCCCCTTCCCAAAGGTCAGCAGTCATCCCCTGTACTGTGTCCGCAGTCTCCGGTCATCCCCTGTACTGTGTCCGCAGTCTCCGGTCATCCCCTGTACTGTGTCCGCAGTCTCCGGTCATCCCCTGTACTGTGTCCGCAGTCTCCGGTCATCCCCTGTACTGTGTCCGCAGTCTCCGGTCATCCCCTGTACTGTGTCCGCAGTCTCCGGTCATCCCCTGTACTGTGTCCGCAGTCTCCGGTCATCTCCTGTACTGTGTCCGCAGTCTCCGGTCATCTCCTGTACTGTGTCCGCAGTCTCCGGTCATCTCCTGTACTGTGTCCGCAGTCTCCGGTCATCTCCTGTACTGTGTCCGCAGTCTCCGGTCATCTCCTGTACTGTGTCCGCAGTCTCCGGTCATCTCTGTACTGTGTCCGCAGAATTTTTTTTTTCCTGTTTTCTGCCTCTAAAACCTAGGTGCGTCTTATGGAGCGAAAAATACGGTAAATATCTCTGCTGTTCTCTTCCCTAGAGCAAAAAGAGCAGTTAATCAATGCAGCTTAAATACTGCATGGGTTATAAAAAAAAATTTGGCCCGGAATTCTGCTTTAACATTTGTAGGTTGAAAATTATTTAACCAAAAAAAAAAATAATAATTTCTCTCTCTATATATATCTAGTGTAGGAACTACTTGACAAATTCGGAGTTGTACCGAACACAATGGTTCCACTGCTGATCATTGGATACGATTTGAACAGTCAAATCACATGACAAATCCCATTAATGTGCTTACACAACTTTGCTTATGCTAACCTAGGTACATGCAGAGGGCCAGTGAGAAGCGATGTGGAATCATCTCTACTGCATTAAAAATCCTGCCTGTCCATCCAATGTCATTGTGGAGCCCAACATTCCACTTTAAGTTCAGTTAACATCAGTCTACGTAAGTTTTTTTAGTTGTTGCAGAAACCAATCATAAGTGACAAAAGCACATAAAAAGTTTCTTGCCTATGTATTGACATAAAGGGAACAGGCATAAATGGATAGCATCCATTTATATCTGCTCAGCACCATCTAAACAGAAAAGCATGTAGCCTTGTTACATTTAAAGAAAAATTTTTTTTTTTTTTTTTTTTTTTTTTTTTTTTTTTTTTTTTTTTTTTTTTTTTTTTTTTTTTTTTTTTTTATGGGATCTAAACACGGATGTAGGCAGAGAAACATCCGTTTACATCTGCCTGACCACAATATACGTTGTGGTTCAATCTGAATCCTTTTGAAGAACTGATGGACAGATATACAGTCAGGTCCATAAATATTGGGACATTGACACAATTCTAACATTTTTGGCTCTATACATCACCACAATGGATTTAAAATGAAATGAACAAGATGTGCTTTAACTGCAGACTGTCAGCTTTAATTTGAGGGTATTTACATCCAAATCAGGTGAACGGTGTAGGAATTACAACAGTTTGCATATGTGCCTCCCACTTGTTAAGGGACCAAAAGTAATGGGACAGAATAATAATCATAAATCAAACTTTCACTTTTTAATACTTGGTTGCAAATCCTTTGCAGTCAATCACAGCCTGAAGTCTGGAACGCATAGACATCACCAGACGCTGGGTTTCATCCCTGGTGATGCTCTGCCAGCCCTCTACTGCAACTGTCTTCAGTTCCTGCTTGTTCTTGGGGCATTTTCCCCTCAGTTTTGTCTTCAGCAAGTGAAATGCATGCTCAATCGGATTCAGGGCAGGTGATTGACTTGGCCATTGCATAACATTCCACTTCTTTCCCTTAAACTCTTTGGTTGCTTTTGCAGTATGCTTTGGGCCATTGTCCAACTGCACTGTGAAGCGGCATCCAATGAGTTCTGAAGCATTTGGCTGAATATGAGCAGATATTGCCTGAAACACTTCAGAATTCATCCTGCTGCTTTTGTCAGCAGTCACATCAATAAATACAAGAGAACCAGTTCCATTGGCAGCCATACATGCCCAAGCCATGACACTACCAACACCATGCTTCACTGATAAGGTGGTATGCTTAGGATCATGAGCAGTTCCTTTCCTTCTCCATACTCTTCTCTTCCCATCACTCTGGTACAATGTTGATCTTGGTCTTATCTGTCCATAGGATGTTGTTCCAGAACTGTGAAGGCTTTTTTAGATGTCGTTTGGCAAACTCTAATCTTGCCTTTCTGTTTTTGAGGCTCACCAATGGTTTCCATCTTGTGGTGAACCCTCTGTATTCACTCTGGTGAAGTCTTCTCTTGATTGTTGACTTTGACACACATACACCTACCTCCTGGAGAGTGTTCTTGATCTGGCCAACTGTTGTGAAGGGTGTTTTCTTCACCAGGGAAAGAATTCTTCGGTCATCCACCACAGTTGTTTTCCGTGGTCTTCCGAGTCTTTTGGTGTTGCTGAGCTCAACGGTGCGTTCCTTCTTTTTAAGAATGTGCCAAACAGTTGTTTTGGCCACGCCTAATGTTTTTGCTATCTCTCTGTTGGGTTTGTTTTGTTTTTTCAGCCTAATGATGGCTTGCTTCACTGATAGTGACAGCTCATTGGATCTCATCTTGAGAGTTGACAGATTCCAAATGCAAATAGCACACTTTAAATTAAATCTGGACCTTTTATCTGCTCAATGTAATTGGGATAATGAAGGAATAACACACACCTGGCCATGGAACAGCTGAGAAGCCAATTGTCCCATTACTTTTGGTCCCTTAACAAGTGGGAGGCACATATGCAAACTGTTATAATTCCTACACCGTTCACCTGATTTGGATGTAAATACCCTCAAATTAAAGCTGACAGTCTGCAGTTAAAGCACATCTTGTTCGTTTCATTTCAAATCCATTGTGGTGTATAGAGCCAAAAATGTTAGAATTGTGTCGATGTCCCAATATTTATGGACCTGACTGTAGACCGAATACCCATGTGAAAGGGCTCCAAGACAACCAGTCATTTGGTTGACAACCAGTCAGTTTTTGTCTTCTATGGAGACATTTCCATCCCCTTCTCACTCTGGTTGACCAAATTGGGACAGAGGGAGAAAAAAAAAAACCTGAATAAGAGTTTACCCTGTCACAGCTTACAGAAGTTTGGGGCAGACTTCTGCTTTAACAATCATTAAAAGCTTATAAGAGAAGTACACTCTATGGTTAAAGTGTATCCAAACCCAAAACTAAAAAAAGTCTAATATATTACAGTTTACTAGTTCTTGGTGTGGTGGCTGCATTCATTTTCTATTATTTTAGCTTTACTTTCACCCGATGATCCTGCAAAACACACACTTCATGTCCTTTAGTAGCTACATCACTTCTCCATTTTATCTACAGTCTATAAGCTGCAATATATTACAAGTTCTATCATTGGGTGTAGCTAAAGCGGATTTCCTGCTTTACTATCCCTCTAAAATATTTAATTTGGGGTAAGCTGGCAAATAATTCCCTTTACCAGCTGCGCCGCTGTATAGACTGTACGCATCCGCAGCTATATGAACTACCGAATTTTTCGCTCCATAAGACGCACTTTTTCCCCCCAAAAAAAGGGGGGAAATGTCAGTGATTCTTATGGAGCAAATATAAAGCGGCCGGTCCGGTATTTCCGCCACCACCATGTCAGAATACCGGGCCGGCCTCTCAGCTGTTCTCTGCGGCAGGAACTCACTTGTTCCTCGGTCCAGCGCTGTAGTCTTCCAGCGCCGGATTCTTCCCGTCCCGGCATCTGTGACAGCCGGGTGCCCACTGCGCATGCGCGAGAAGCGCTGCGCTTTGTGAATGGTCCGGTGTCTTCTAGGACATATGACAGGTCCCAAAAGACGCCGGGCCATTCACAAAGCGCAGCGCTTCTCCCGCATGCGCAGTGGGCACCCGGCTGTCAAAGTCGGGTGCCCACAGTATAGGAAGAACTCCGAAGTGGGAGCGGGTACCTGTCAAATTCAGGTACCTGCTCCCCCTCCCTCAAGGTCCGCCTGCACTGTGTCCGCAGTCTCTGGTCCATCGCCTGCACTGCGTCCCTAGTGTCGGGTCACTTCCTGTACTGCGTCCGTAGTGTCGGGTCACTTCCTGTACTGCGTCCGTAGTGTCGGGTCACTTCCTGTACTGCGTCCGTAGTGTCGGGTCACTTCCTGTACTATGTCTGCAGTCCATTGGTTCAGAATATTTTTTTTCTTGTTTTTCTCCTCTAAAACCTAGGCGTGTCTTATGGTCAGGTGCGTCTTATGGAGCGAAAAATGCGGTATACAGTGTTCCGGCTACGGGGCGCAAACATTTCTTTCCACACCCAAAACAAATTGGGTCAGGCTGAGCAGTGCTCAGCCATACATAGGCAGCTTTGTATTCTCTAAATACAAAGCTTCCTCTGATTGGCTGAGGCGGGCAGATGACATCATGATCTCCACCTCAGCGAATCAGGGAAACCTTTGTATTCACTTTGACAGTACAATGCTGCCTCTGAATAAATAGGTGCTGCTCAGCCTGAGCCTGACCCAATTTTGTTCTGGGTGTGGAATGCGATGCCTGCGTCCCACAGCCAGAACTTGAGGCTGTAATACTGCTGATGCTACATAGAGGTTATAGAGCAAGCCCAGCAGATGCACCTGCTGGTGCAGATCTACAAAACACTACTAATATCAAAAAAGTAAATCTTTGTCTCTGTAGTTTGATGGCAACTAACATGTAAACGTCATCAGTATGATAAAGAATAACAGCAGCCAAAAGGTCTGGTTAGTGGACATCCTCTTATAACTCAGGCTAATATTATTAGGACCATTTCTTGCTTATATTCTAGTTATTAAAAATCACAAGCGACCAAAAACACCCAAAAAAACATACTCCGTACACGGAACATTTACAGCATTCTATGCCAGAGATTTTATTTAAACTGAATCATCCAGGTTTAACCATCTTTCATCGAAAGATGAGCTCCAGTTATGGATATTTTATACATATTACACATACAAAGGCTGTAATCATATTCAGCAATCTAATTATGAATATTCCATACCTTGCCAATATCGCTTGAAATCAATGCGGTGGTCACAGCTACTCCAGGGATTTCAACTTGCTTCTGCGTCACCGTGTTGAGTGACTGGTCTGCAACATTCTTAAAGTGGTCATCAAGGCTCAAGTTTTTTTTAACCTTCATGCATTCTATGCATGAATTTAAAAAACCTTCAGTGCGCAGCAGCCCCCCCCCAGCCCTCTAATACTTATCTGAGCCCCACTGCGATCCAGAGATGTGCAC